GATGAAAGGCTGACTTTGTGCCAGTCCTGAACGGCCTGAGGGAGCCATGGGCACGGTATTCCCCTGATTATCTAGCCCTTACCCCTCAAGGGGACCCTGAGGGGTGGACTGCTTTTATCCCCAACATAATCCAGGCTTCCCATGGCCAGTAATGAAAATATATCCCCACTGTTAGGGGCAATGAGGCTTGCCCCTTTATCAAATAGCCCCAACGAAGTAAACCCACCCGATTCCCCGACCCCAGGCTCTCCTTTGACCACGGCTCCAAACACTGCAATAACTACCCCTTCACCAATGCCTACTAGTACAGTAGCCAACAATCAACCCTCAAGGGACATTTCCACTCTCCCAGCATGCCCAACTTCAACACCTCTACCCCCACAACCTCCAACATCAACCACCCCATCCTCCCTTATTAATACCTTACAGCCTTATAGCCCACCTCTCCATAACACTACCTCCATCAACACAACTCCATCTTCGTCACGCCCTCGCCCTTCTACCACCCCTATCTCTAAAACAATCTTGAATACTCTCTTCAGTGCAGCCAAATGGGACCGATTTTTCGTGATCCCTCCCACAGCTCCCTACTCTAACAATACCCTTCTCTTCCAACAATGCCTCCAAAAACAAGTAGGTAAAGTCTCTTTCCGTAGCCGACCCGACCGCTCCCGTCTTGTAACAATAACATCCGAAAACCAAGCCATAGCACTAACAAAACTAACTGACCTATATGGTAACCCCATCCTAGCAGAACCCCATCCAACCCTCAATACTTGCACCGGAACAGTCTCAATCTCACCAACAAATTGCCCAATCTGTGATAAAGAATGGTCAGATTGTGGAGAAGATCTACTTGCCTGTCTCACAGACTACGATGCAACATCAGTACAATGCTATTCCATCCCCCCCAGAGGTCATCGAAAGAAACCCACTAACATAGCCAAAATTACCTTCCGTAGACATGACCTTCCCTTTAACGTCTACATAGGAGGAGAATCCCTCCCTGTTCGTCCATACCAACCTCCTCCACGTCAGTGCCAAAATTGTTGGCGTCTAGGACACCCAGCCAAACACTGCCGTTCCACAGCCAGATGCCCATTATGTGCCCAACCTGGCCATACCCGATCTAACTGCTCTGCACAATCACGCACATGTGCCAACTGTGGCGGCCCCCATAATGTATTTTATAGGGGCTGTCCCACCTACAAATTTGAATCTGAGGTAGCAACTCTCAGATTCAAACTCGGACTCACACTGCGTGAAGCCAGACAGGAAGCACGTCGACGTGGATTCTCTCTTACTCCTTACTCCAGTAATACTGCTCATCCTAACACTTCTCCTAAACCCACCCCTCCTACATCTAACCCCCCCACTAACCCCACCTACCTTCCCCAGTCAAACTCTTTTGCCATCCTAAATCCAGAAACTCCAATCTCTACTACAGATACTCCAATCACCACTACAACCCCAACACCTTCCCCTCTCCCTCCTCGCACTCCCCGTAACAGACAGAACAAACGTTCCACCCCCTCTTCCCCTACCACACAATCACCCCCACCATCCTTTGCCCGTACTCTTGAGACACCAGTCCTCTCTTCCCCCCCTCACAAGAAATCCTTTATCCCCCAAAACTCCCCAACCAACTCCACAGAAGAAACTATTGAAAATATTCAAGATTACTTAATGAAAACCGACACTCAACCTACAACTCCTGCTCCTTCCACACTCCAAGTAATTGCTGATATCCATCCTCCTCCTAACGATATCCCCCCTACACCCTACCCTCCTACCCCCTCCCAACACAGCCCATCCCCCCTGACCCTGCCCACATTAACTCTCCCACCATCCCCTCTATCCCTTCCACTCCCTCCTGGATACACACGTGAATCCCTTATGTCACAAGTATCCCCTTCCTCAGACCCTCCATCTCCTACTACCCCTCCTGATAGAACACCAACTCCCACACCTCTCCCATCTCAAACCTCTCAGTCCTTATCCCACCCTCTAGCTGCTTCCCCTTCAAATTCTCCAACACGTACTACAATCTATATCACTAAATCAACGAAAGTATAACTATCCTTCATTGGAATATTCGCGGTTTCCGCTCCCACAGACCTGACCATCATATCCTTTCCTCTTATAACCCATCTATTGTGTGCCTTCAAGAAACCTTTCTTATGCATACCCTTTATCTAATATAACACCCGACCTTAACCCTTTCACTCACTAATTCCTTTGCCCAGCTTAGACAACTAATCACTAACTCAACCACCCTTCACTAACATTAACTATAGTGCTACATGACCTTAGATGTCTAGCACATTTATCTTGCTTTTAACCATTAACCATTAACCATACCTCACGTAGTCCTGCAGCATATTCAATTAAGCACAATAGCCGATCCTTCATGAATATACCTTTACAGCGGAGTGCATTTTTTCCTGTCCCATTAACTACTGCTGTTTGAGAATAAACGCAGGTTACGTGCGTAAATTGCTTCCATAAAATTTACCAGAAAAATTAATAACTTAAAGTATAAATACAAATTAACATAAGAAGAGTCATTTATGTAACGTTATAGTATATATGTTGTAAACAGGGATCATGTGATGAACATTTTTTTTTTTTTTTTTTTTTTTTTGGGGGGGGGTCTTTGGTGAATTCTTTTAACACAAGAGATAATTCCATGTGTGTTGGTTTGCGATTGTACTTCTGCAATAAACGGGTCCCCCGACCAATTATATCAGTACCTTTGGCCATGTATTCCGGTACCTGTAGACACGGTTCATGACACGCCAGGGCGATGAGGTACCTGGTTTTGAAACTGCATGGTTAGATTAACGGTTGCCATATTTTGTATGGTGCTTTTTCTGCCAACCCCTTGCCCGGGGGGGGGGGGGGGCTTAGGAGACGGAGATTCGGACCCAATACTCGAGATGACCCCAACCTTGAGCTTCAGCCCTCGACTCAATTAATTTTGCATGGTCTTTCACGGTCTTTTCTTCTTCTCTTTCCGTTTCATTCTCTTCCCAAACCCCTTCAACTATCCACGTCCCAAGGTGTGAGAGCCGTGTTGAAAGGATGAACACACACACACACACACACACACACACACACACACACACACACACACACACACACACACACACACACACACACACACACACACACATATATATATGTGTGTGTGTGTGTGTGTGTGTGTGTGTGTGTGTGTGTGTGTGTGTGTGTGTGTGTGTGTGTGTGTGCGCCAGTCATGAACGGCCTCGGGGAACCATGGGCACGGTATTCCTGTCTAGTTGCCCTTTTATCAACAAGCCCCACTGACTGAACACTGCTACTCCTCAACGGCTACGTTCACCTCATCCAGGTCATTTCTCAACCTCCAGAAAACCTATTCCTTTCCCAACATCCCCTACTATCTTCTCCATTCCCTCATATATCTTCATCATCTACCTCGTTCTCCCTTATTACTACTCTGCAGCCTCATTATCGACCTATCCTTAATACTACCTCTCAACACTACTCTCATACAGTCTATGCACTCGACCTACCCCCCTGTCTGTAAGATTCTGTTAGGTTTTGCTAGGTGGCCAACCATGCTCCGCTCCGCCGCTGTGTCCACATCACATCAACCCCGTTTCTCACGTATTCCAGCCACGGAGTATTAGACCTACTGGCAATCTTATGTCCGTTGACAGTCTTTGTGGTCATGTTTTCTCACCAGTAAATTACATATTGCAAAATCAATCTCCTGTTGGTCACCTCCACTTCATCAGAACAGACACTTGCGTATTGGCCACACCAGCCTTACGGACTCCTATCTCACGTCACATTCTGATCCATCACTGTGTTCCCAGTGTAGTGTTCCACCTTGAGTTCCACGCTTTCTGTCGTCCTATCCACGCTTTACTGCAGCCTTTACCTCTGCTTTCCCTCCCCTATCGTCCCTTCTCCGTCCTCCCAATCTGTAAGACAGTCTTGCGGAATCCCACGCTTTCTCCTTTGACTTGTTCTCTTTCCTCAGACGCATACATATCCTTCATTTGATCTGATTCCCCGTTTGCTTATTCCTGCCTTAACCCATTTACTCTTTTTCTCCACCATTAACCATCTTTATCCTTTCCAATGCCATCCTACTGCTGTACGACTGTTGGCGTATAGCAATAATTATTAACTTACCCCCTCTTCACCCTTTCCAGTACTATGCTTTCCTATAGTGCTACATGACCTTTGATGTCTAACATTTATTTTGCTTTTAGACATTTCCCACTAATCATTCATATTTTTTTTTTCTTTCGTTGATTTTAATTCAGTGCACACACTTTAAAATTATTTATTTATAAGTTCGTTGTTCCACAGTAAGAAAAGAGAGAGAAAAAAAAAACATTTGTGTATGTGCGTGTGTGCGTGTGTGTGTGTGTGTGTGTGTGTGTGTGTGTGTGTGTGTGTGTGTGTGTGTGTGTGTGTGTGTGTGTGGTGTGTGTGTGTGTGTGTGTGTGTGTGTGTACCTACATATATATACATTTGTACACACACACACACACACACACACACACACACACACACACACACACACACACACACACACACACACACACACACACACACACACACACACACATACACACACACACACACACACACACATGTATATTATATATATATATATATATATATATATATATATATATATATATATATATATATATATATATATATATATATATATATATATAGAGAGAGAGAGAGAGAGAGAGAGAGAGAGAGAGAGAGAGAGAGAGAGAGAGATCAGACAATTGAGGGATATATTCGTTTGTGGTGCTATTGTAATCCGTTCACTGTATGAGAAAAAGAGAATCTTTAAAAAGGTTATATTACAGATGGTGTCTGCACTGCAAAAGACATTTATAAAGAAAAAAGGAATTAACAACAAAAAAAGGCTCAGTTACACCCAGGTTAGCATTAGTGTTATAAGAAAGTACAGCTTATGGGCA